AACTCAAACTATCGATATTGACAAGCTAGAATGTAAAATAAGAACATCATATCTTTTTTATTTGCTAAGATATCGCTCATGTAATGAATCAAACACAGTGGACTCCCCTTCCATCTCTTTCCATTTTTGGAAATGGTCCCTTATATACACTTACTTCTATATATGACATGAATAACCAATCAAAAGCTTAGAATGTCCCCCTAGTGGTTTTCTCAGCCATTTTGATGTTCTATCATTTTATTAATTTCATACTTTTCACAGAGGCATAATTTATAGTTTTTTCCTAATTTTTTATTGAGGCTACGAAGTCAGTCAAATCCAATCAACCTGTAGTGAGAATAACAAATAAAATATAAAGCTTTTTCTAAAAAAATCAATAATTATATGGAGATTATAAAGATTTCACAAGTGAAATTTGAAAATGTTCTAATGCATTAAAGTATTTTTAATCTTAAAATCAAAATTGCTTTGCATATTGGATAGTCAACATTTCGAGAAAAAAAAGGTTTACGACAAACTCTTTAATTAAAAATCTTAATGCTTAATTTAAAAACTTGATATTTTGTGTACAAAAACCTTGCAATGTTTACCAGGAACCTGCAAAATTTTGTAAATATGTGCTTATGTTATCAAAAATCATAGTATAATTACTCTCATGTATACTTTTGTGGTTACGAGCTCGGGGATTGCACGCAGCCTGTAATGAAAGGGTTAACTCATTAGTGGTTTGATTTCATCAAGTGTAAAATTGTAGGGGGGGGGGCATGGTGTAAAAACATGTATTTTGGTGTGATGATTGACATTTTAGAAAGGTTTTATGCAAGATGTTAATATCTACTGCTGAAGTAAGTATATTTTGATGAGTTTAAATTATTAAATAAATCTTCATCTATTATTTCAAAGGATGTGATTTAATTTTGTGTTTTACATGTACTGATAATTTGTTGTGTGAAATCTGAGATGGAATAAAACTTGAGTAAAAATAAGAAGTATTAAATAATATTCGTAAATTTGTCTTTTTAGAAGTGAAAGCAAGAGCTGGAAGACCTAATGGCTGATATCAAGAAATCTGCAAACAAAGTGCGAACCAAATTAAAAGGTAAGGAAACTCTTTATCGTAATATCAAGAAATCATGTTTTTTTCTTGGGACATAACTAGGCATTCCTATTTTGTTTGAAACTAGTTTCAGTTTTTCTTTAGATTTAATTTGATTCTCTTTAAGCAGCAGTAGCTAACATCTTAAAGTATTATAGTTTGGGAAAATGTATATCGTCCTTCAGGGTTTCATTTACCTGAGCTAGTTTTTCTCTACATAGCCAGGGTATGGTCGTTCGATTGTTTAAACACTTACATTCCTGAAAGTGCAAATATTGAAAATGTTCTTTACAAGGGAGTTTTGTAAACAGCTTTTCCAATATGAATTTGATGGTCCTTTGTTTTAGATTGTGGTTTGAAATACCACAACCCTATAGATTTTTGTTGAATTTTGACACATTCTGTGAGTAAAATAATATAATTTGGGAGTGCGGATGTCTGTCTGTTTAGTGCACATGAACATGAAAAAGAGAAAACGAAATAAGCAAAAAACGAGCATATGCATAAGTGTAAGGCCTACTAAGAGTGACTTATGGATGCACAAGTTTCTATGTGTGTACGTGTTATTAAAATTTAACTAAAACTTCTGCAAAATTTTAAAATCATAATCTTCATGCTGTATTAAGATAATTTTTAAGGCAATTTTCAGAGTATTGTTTGTCATTTTATGCTTATAAAAAAAGTGTTATATTTTTACGTTTTAATGAAAATGCACATGCAGTAAGTATGTTTGAACATGTTCTTATTTGAGTTTTGAAAAGTTGTGGTATTTAATTTTCGGACATTTTGTTCACAATTTCAATGTTTTGTTGCGTTTTGAGAATTCTTTTAACAACTACAAAAACATGGATGACTAATTCAAACTTTTGGAGGAAGGGTGAATGCTCACAGTATCAACATTGCTGAAGATGGTTTATTGTTTTAAAAGAACTTTCAGAAAGATAATATTTTAGTGACAATATTAAATTCTTTGTGGTTAACTAAGAATGCAAATTGAGTGAAATATCACAACTCTCTATATGTTGTCAAATTTCAACACATTCCACCAGTTTATTACATGTTTATAAGCTTACAATTTCATATAAAAGATTCAAAAACAACTTTATCCATTGATTAAAAGAAATACTCGCAACTATTCTTAACTGTTACAGATCCTAAAACGTTTCTGTGAGGTCTGACATTGTCAGGAATATTTTTTTCAAAACAAAATATAGGGGAACTTTAATTCACCTACAAACTAAGCATTTGTTCAGAGTTTGGCATACTACTTTTAACAGGGTGAAAAAACATTAATTTTTGTTTTTATTTTCAACATTTGATCTGTTGTGCTTCATCAGCAGATTTTGTTTTTTTCGGACATTTTTGTAGTGGTGTTCCAATAAAAAAAATCTTTGTGTGTAGTTACATTGTTTGATTCACTAGCTTTTAACAGCAAAGTAACTGTATCATGTAGATTTGGCGTAGTGAATGTAACAAGCTGAAAATTCTCATTTCAACTGCAACTTTTAGTGCGTAAACTAATGCAAATGTGTTTGTCTGGGAAAAAATAATGTCTATTCAGTCTAAATGTGTTAAATTATTTACAGGATGTTTTATACTTTTAATAAAATTGAATTGATAATCTACTATCAGGTGGAAAAGATATTTCATCATGGCCATAATATATATATATATGTATAATTGATACTTGAAACTTTTGGTACTTGATGAAACTCCATAATTACAGAATTGAGGAAATGATTACGTCGATACTGGTGAAACCATGGCCATTAATAAATAAAATTTGTGTTAAACGTACAGTTGTCTTTTTTTTTCTTCCTCAATTCTGTAATATAAGTTTACGATACTGTTATGGCTCAGAATTTCTTCTCATCTATAACATGTTTGGCTTTTCATCTTAGTAGGTCCAAATGATGTTGGTAAATTAAGTTTAGATTCCTTATTACAGAACAACAACAAAACTTGTATGGATATACTAGTTTTGACACTTTAATGAGTCCTCTTCAGCCAAATGTTTTGTTCCATAACAGTAGATCTAAACTTTTAGATTGCTTTACACAGTATTGTATATTTACCTACTGTATTCTGGTAAATTGATGATAGAATAATATATGAAGTATATTATATTAAACAGTAATCCTTTCTGTCTTGGAAAGAAAAGGTATAGAGATCAGTCTTCTATAAATACATAACATTTTTCAATTTTTAGACTGAAATTCTGTTTAGATATTTGACAGCTTTCTGTGTGATGCATGAAACACTATTTCAGCTCTTCCTCATGGAATACATTCTTAGCCTTTATATAAACTTTGATTGATACCTAAGCCTATTTTTTATAGTGCATGAAGTTTTGGATGTGATACGCTTTTCTTGTACTAATTAGCTTGAAGTTTTCAAAATAAACTCTCACTTGGTTGGCCATAATAATAATAATAAAAGTACAGCATGTTAGTTGGTTATCCTGGCTATGAGAGTTATTGAAATATTTGTTTTATTACTTTGAATATTTAATTTCACCTACAATTTAATCACCCATTTGCTTGTGACTATCTTTAACTTGCTTTAAATAAAGTATGTATATTTTATATAACTTTGTATAAACTTATTCTTTAGTGATGGAGCAGAATGTAGAACAGTTGGAACAAACCAGCATGATGTCAGCAGACTTCCGCATTAGAAAAACACAGGTAAGTGACCTGATAACATTTTAAGATGTATAGCTGTAGATACATGTAGATTCACCTTAAGTTTTTTATCTGAGAGACTATTCTTTCAGTACGAACAAATCCAGAAGCTTGGATTGATTGACGTTTTAATATTCTTATGATATGTTTTGATTTTATCAGTGATTAGATTGAAGAAAATAATGTGACTGTTCTTAAAATCTAACAAGTTGAGCATTGTGGGAAGTGCTTAATTTACCCCCATGGGTAGTTTGAAAGAATTCACTGACAAAACCTTCTTCAAATTGTTTGTTCAAGAAACAAAGAAGCTCTGTCACTACTGTAATATTGCAGGATGTTTGTGGCAGTCTCACTTCTTGGGGGTCTTAGCTTAGCTTCAGTGTACAATTTGTAATAGTAATTGGGGGGGGGGGGGAATAAAGGTTGAAGTACATTCAAGCCAATTACGTATGGGAAGTATAAAATCTTATGAATCTAGTCTCCCCTTTGGTCCTCCCTGGAGGGATAAGTTTATGGATTTACAATGCTAAAATCCAGGGTTTGATTCCTGAGGTGGACATAGCAAACATCCCTCTAAAACAAATATACTCCTCTTCATTTTTTTTTTATTGCTATTCATAATTTTGTTAAGGATATTCAGTCATTCCTTGATCTATAATATTTTGTGTTATAGTTGAAAAGTACTTTCTTTTGTAACATTATTGAATATATTTAATGTAACTCTAGAAGTGTCAGCTAGAACCATAGTTTAACCTGACTTTAAAAGTTTGGAAAGGACCAGAGTTTAACCTGACTGTAAAAGTGCTGAATATATCAAGAGTTTAAATTCGTTTCAGAAATGTTGAATAATTTCAGAGTTTAACCTCATCTTATAAATATCAGATAAGTCCAGAATTTAACATAACCTTTCATGCATCAGCTAGGGCCAGTGAACATAATCTCTCTAGGTATCATCCTGAAAAAAAATTGCTTGATGTGTCAGAAAACAAACAAAAGTTCAGAAAAAGTGTGAATGAATTGATATTGTTGTAAGCCATATTTTCAATGCTATAAGTTGGTTGTTCATTAAAGGGAGCTGCTAATCATGATGATGATGCTAAATCTATAATATTCATAAAAATAATCCTAGAATACCTTGAAAGATCATGGAACTTGGAGAAATTAGAGTACATTATATATATGAGGAATCAATGTGTGAAACTTATTGAGAATTTGGTGAGATATTTAGTGATTGATACAGTTCAGTGTTTGTGGTAAGAGTAATTACATCTAGTCTGATATGCTGTTACTTGGTGAGTAACATGTTTATCTGACAAAGCTGTTGCAGTTTGTACTGAAATGTTGCATTTGAATGAGGCCTACGTTTAGTTGCAGAGTTTAGATTTTAAAGTTTCATTATGAAAATTTTGAAAAGTTTGTAACAAACGTTATCAAAGTAATAAATTAATTTGTTATTGTCACATGGAGTGAACTTTATATTGTTTTCACTAAACAATCCCAAAAATCTTCCCAATGATAGAACATGTTAGAACAATGTTATGTTTGTATGTTATTTTTCAAGCAAAATTTCACAGAAATCTTTTCAAATTCCTCAACTACTGATGATGTTAGGCTAAGTGTGACCTAATGCTTAGTATGTTCAAACTGTGAATTCAAAGGTTCATGGTCTGTTGCAGCAAAAATGTTAGGCTAAATGTGTACTAAAATTGTATCTTCTTCACCAGTAATTTCAAAAATAATTTGCCTTGTCAGCACTGAATACAACAGACGTTGTGTGGTTGACATGTTGTAACATATCCTCTCTTGCATTCACCTTTGCTTTTTAAAACTTATTTTTAGTTATTTTAAGGCTAAACAAATGTTTCATTGTTCTTGGCCGTTGACAATAAAACGTTAAATCATTGAGATATCTCATTTTGATTGTTAATGTTTTATTTACATGATTATAAAATTAGATTTGGTGTTATAGATTTATTATATTTTTAATTTAGCATCATTTGCAGGCAATTACTAGGCTAGTACTTACAAGTTTGCAGACATTCGAGAACGTTCACTTTGTATAAACATCAAGAAATAGCCTGATGTATAATTATTCGTATAACTTTTTCCAGCACTCGATGCTGTCTCAGAAATTTGTGGAGTAATGACGGATTACAATAAAACTCAGACTGATTACAGAGAAAGGTGTAAGGGACGAATTCAAAGACAGTTAGAGATCAGTAAGTAAAGAAACGGTACCTTTACTACAATCTAGAAAATTTAAAGAGATATTGTCACTCACTTTAATTTGTGAATTTCCAAAGATAAACTGTAGTTTTTAAATAAAGTTTATTGTATTCGAAAATTCTTGGAAATTTGCCTCTTTAATCATGGAGTTAATAACATTTTGAAAATGGGTTTTAAAAATGATATTGATATTATTTTTATCTCAGGCCAGCTGAATAAAAGTAAAGCAACTAAAAATTAAGTACATATAAAGAGTTTATCAGATTTATGGTTCAGTAGTCAATGTGAATTATGATGCGATTTGTGTTAGAATCCATAAATGATGTAGCCTGCCAAAGTGTTCATATGTAGAGAGAGGTACAAACCCTATTATTCTATTATGAAATAAAATTTAATTTTAATCACAAACTGTGATTGAAGAGTTCAGTTGTTATTTTAAAGTGTTATATTAGTTCTTTGTCTCTGTGTCAAATGAAGTATTAATGTGTTTTTTAAAATCTTTTTTTAAATATTAATATACTTTTTAACATAGTTCTTTAGTTATATATTTTGTTTTCTTGTATTCTTAATGGCATTGAACAAATTTAAGATTATGTGTTTGATTTATTTTGATGTACTTGCAATAATTAAAACTAATGAGTAAAATGATTGAGATAATTTCATGTCAAAGTTTAACTGCTGGCTTGAGTGGATTGTTATACATAGGTGTGTACATTGAACATATCTGTTTGTTTGTGAAAGGAAATTGTGACACCCATTTCATAATCTGAATTTCAATAACTACTTGCCCTCTGCTGGCTCAGCAGCAAGTCTGGGGGCTTATAGTGCTTAAAATCAGGTTTTACTACTCATGGTGGACAGAACTCTGTGCTTAATAACCAAAAATACAATACCTACTTCATAACTTACGTTGTGATATTAATATTTTTAATTTATGTAAATCTTAAATTATAATAAGTTATTGAAAACTAAAAATGCACTGCCAAGATACGGCAAGGTGCTTGTGAAATACATGAAGAATGTTTAAATCTAGATCCTGTTCCAAAAGGGAAAAAGTTCAGATATATATCAGAATATATATTGATTTTGTGGGTGAATGATCTTGAGGCATCAAAGAAATATTTTTATCAGAAGCTCTTCTCTTATTTGCAAAATCTCTCTGTATTTTATTCTGGATTAAATACTGTGAACTAATCTATTTAGAACTTATTAACATAGTTAGCTTGTTGGAATTATTGGTTTTTAATGTTGTTTTACCTTCCCTAGTTGTGATATTTGACGTGTTCGCCCTTACAAATGCAACAGATTTAACTCCATTCCACAGTTTTGGTAGGCTCGGTTCAAGCAAGCTAAATAAAAAGTGGCATAAGTCACTGTGTTGAGTGAAATATTTTCTTTTTTTTGTAAATAAAGATACTGTTTTCTAAGCGAATCAATTTTTTTTTTCCTTTTTTAGCGGGTAAAGTAACAACAAATGATGAATTAGAAGAAATGTTGGAGAGTGGAAACCCTGCTATTTTTACACAAGGGGTAACTTGTTTTTGGATATTCAGATTTTTGACAGGCTTTTTATGTATGCTTATACAAAGAGAAACTTACTGTGTGACTTTTATTAAAGTGGTCATAACATATTTGCTTATTGTTTTGTGTATTTATAATTTAAAAGGATGATTGACTGTATCAGTTTCATGCTGTAACATTGCACAGAAGCAATGAAGAACTGTTCTTTATGAACCTTAAAAACATTAACGTCAGAATGTTAGTGTTTTTTATTTTTCATGTATTTAATAAAGAAGAGCTTAGGCGTGAAACTAAGAAAAAGTAACTACAGTGCCACATGTTTTAGCTTTTATTTACATTTTACACAATTTTACTATCATACAAGATTTTCATCTGCAGTTACACCAACTCTTGTTACAAAAAGAAAAAAAAAGCTTGCATATTCTTTTATGATTTATTTTCACCACAGGTTTAATTTGTTCTTTCAATTTTTGAGATACATTTTCATAAATAGATAAACAGGTTGTATCTATAATAGATTTGTATATGGATTATTAATGAAAAACATGGACATATTTTTAAAATATTAACATTTTTTTTCACAGACCAAGAATTTAAGGTAATTCTTCATTAATGTAATATCTATAATGTTAAAGCTCATTAAAAGAACTGTTATACTAAGATTTTAATATTTTTACCACTAATAAATTTATTTAGTGTGTTGTATGTAACTGACTATCATAGTTGTACCACTCTTCAAACATAGTTATACCACAAGAGACCGACACATGTTAGTTTTAAATATTAATTGACTCTTTTTCACATTTTTGCCTTTTAACACCTGTGAGCAAAAAGCAAAATAAATCAAGCATAAAGCAATGTTTGGAATACCATTATTTATATGACTAGTTTCTCTTACTTATACTTTCTCTAAGTTACACATATATCCCCTGTAAAGGAATTGTGAAATTTAACTTTACATAAAATATGATTGGAGGGGGGGGGTTATGTTAGACAGAATATAACCCAAAGCAGTTATTTGTATATACTTGTTCTCTTAAAAATTAGTGCCTTACTTTCAAGAAATACCCGGTGAATACAAAATTAATTGTCTGGTCTGCTAATATAATAATTAATATTAAAAAAAATCTTATAATGGTTGGATTGTCAAACATGGTGTATTTCTATACCCCCCCCCCCTTTCCCCTCTGTAATATAAAAATTCAGCTTATCTGAAAGTGAAAATATGTCTGTTTATTTTTGTCTTCTTTAAGATCATTATGGAAACACAGCAAGCCAAGCAAACCTTGGCAGATATTGAAGCTCGTCACAACGACATAATCAAGTTAGAGAATAGCATTCGAGAGCTTCATGATATGTTCATGGACATGGCGATGTTGGTTGAAAGTCAGGTAGGAATTTCTTTTTAATCTTCTTGTGAACACTTTGAAAATAACTGTCTTTACTTTTGACACAGCTTGTAACTACCAGCCTTAGTAACTCAGACTTAATTTGTATAAATTCAACTATTAATCACTGAATAATTTTTAAACATTTTTGTATTTGATACTTTGTCTCTTTATTTAAAAAAGAGCTTATAAAAGAGGCTAGTTACAATCTAAATTATAATGTGGGGTGCATAATTTTGATATGTAGGCATAGCATATGTTTTCTATCAAATTTTATTAATATAGGAATTTAAAAAAAATTTCATTTAGTTCACCTTTACGCAGTATTGTCATAAACATGTGGTCCAGAAAACTGTTGAGTCATTTTTGTTCTAATTACCTGTTTCTTTGTTATTCTTTAGCAGATAGAATCTACTTGTCACCTGGAAATGCTGCAATTTTCACACTGTGTAAAAACAAGTCAGACAGTAATGTTCTTCTACTTGGTTCAAGACATGAATCAAAGAAAAGTTTTCTCAAGGGATAATAGCATTTTTTTGTGCTCTGCATTGTATATAAAGATTGTGTTTCACATGTCTAGTCCATTTACTTCTTAGCTTTATACTCAAATGGTTAGCCAAATTCAGATTTACTTCACAATTTTTCCTGACCAATCCTCCTGTTATAAAGTGGACCTGTTTGATACTTGTGCAGAAACCAGTTGACCTTGAGAGTACCACATAATCATGTCCATCGGCATGATCAAAGATGGAGGAAGTAGTAATAAAAGTAGATGGAAGATTTCTTCCGTTTATTTGGACGATAAATTCCTGAACATGTAGCAGATAAATGTTCCATCAGAGGATTCTATGTCACAGCTATTCTCAAAAGAGGAATATTCACACAGTAAGGTTTTTAAATAATGTAAAATCAAAGGACAAAAACATTCAGAAAAGACAGAAGTTTTCAACATTTTTCATTAAAGTTGACAATCTTGAAAACTAGAGTTTAGAATAGAAAATGGCTAATAAACCACTCCAATTAGAGGAAATACAAACATCTTGAAATTGAAGGCTCTGATTATCAATAAAAAATAAAAGCCTTTAACCACATCCATTGGAGGATTCTTTGGCAAGTTTGTCAAGGTATGTGGTCAACACTGCCCTCACCACCACTCTTAATGAAAACAAGTTTTAGATGCTAAACATGTTGCCCATGTAACTATGGCTTACATTATATAAGAATTGTTCTAATAAAGAACTAAGTACCCCCCCCCCCCCCATATACTTGTACAGTGCTGATTCCATGGCATAGCAAACAAGGGAGGAGGAAGGGTGTACCAAGGGGGCACACCTTAATAATGGAGGAACGTAATATTTTGGTCTACTTTATAGTAGTCTTTAGTATTTTACATGTTATAAACTGAAATAAATAGAATATATAAAGAAGACAGAGTCTAATGCTTCTCATAAGATGGATCATAAGAAGCTGAATGAAGTCCTTTAGACATATGTGCTGTTCTCAAACAATCCTTGTAAAAGTGTTCCAGTAAACTCAATTCTAGATTTTCTGTGGCTGGAATTTACAGCACATCCACAAACAAGGTTTGATGACGTTGCCCTTACAGTGGTTAAGTGCATTACGGCCTTACACGAGGCAAAGGATGTGATCAAAAACTACTATCCCCATTCATTATTTGCCAGTTCTGTTACTTAAGGTTAATATCAAATTATTTCAAAATAGTGTAATACAGCAATACAATTTTTCAGATAATGAAAAGGAGGGACTTTTAAGAAGTCTATGTTTTCTAGGTTGAGCCTGTGATTAAAGCAATGAGTGTAAATTGCTTTGGTTTTTTTTTTTATCATATACTACCTTCTGAAAACACCATTAAACTGGCCACTCATTACTAATGCCCTATCATAGCACTGTGCGACACAACTTGTGATGTCTGTATTGCAGTCCTGAAGTACATCACGAGTGTAAGCTGCTAAGGAAGTAGCATCCATCTTTTTGAGTATGAGCAACATATGTACACTTCTGTTATGCATGTATCTTAACAACAACTGACAATTGTTCTTTCTTGTTTACATCCTTTGTTTCGTCTACCGTGATATAAAACCACTGAGATTTTCTTACTTTATCATTGATTTGTTCTTTAACCATCTTGGAAAGAATGTGAAAAATATGATTTTTTAAAAGATTCATTTGTAGATTTGGCTGTCTTATTTTTGAGGTGATTTTCCGAAGTGGGATTTTTTTTTGCCATCATATGTAATATTTCAAGGAAGTTGCCTCTGTTTATGCTGTATCCACTTACCATCTACTTATACTGTATAATTTTCTGACACACTTTTAAGACAAAATGTCATCCAAGGCTTTGATAAAATGCCTATTCTCTTCAATTTGCTTTTGTTAGGCAGAAGAAAGTACTTGGTTCATAGTCTTACCAGAAGCCACATGCTACATAAAGCCATGCCACTATATCATAGCATGTTTGTGAAATTCATCTTTTTTAATGTTTATAAAAGCTTCAGTCTTTTCCAGTACCCTTTTTCTAATGCCTAAATCTGTAATTTGAGAAAGCATTTTCTGGAGTACTCTATTGTGGAAAGATTACAACAGGAGCAGAAACCTGCACCTTGGCTTATTGAATAGTCTAACCATGTGTGGGATTTATACCATTGTTGAGTTCAAGGATCAGTATTTAATTCCAACCTGATGCTGTGGATATCAAGAAACCTTTTCCTATTTTGTCTCATCTGTTTTACTCAGACATAAGTTAGCTGGTCATAATGGCTTTTTTCTTAAACATTTTGCTGTATTTTCTTCAGTGTAACTAATTTGGCTTTCTATAAAACCTGTCCATTTGACATTAGACTCACTGCCGTCACTTTCATCAGTTCTAACAAATTCTACTTCCAAAACAAAACTAAATTCCTCAGCTCTTCTCCTCTATGCCTTTTCCTGATTGGACTAGAAGCATCCTCATCTGACTGTTTTTTGTTTTTTTTAATGAGATGCTATTGTTCTGTGCTTACGAACCTATGAATTAAACAATCAAGATAGGTTTTAAAATATAACTGTCATTTAAATACAGAGAAGTAGTATATATTTCCTACTTTCTCTGAAAGCTTATTTTGCTTAACATTAAGGTGATTGAGATTGCATAATATTTATATTTTTTATGTTATGTACACTACTGTGTAATAGCGTAAATTAATTTAGAAATATTAAAACAAAACTCGTAAACATATTTACTTTATTTTGAATAAATACACTGCAGGCAGTCTTACTGTTTGAATAGAAAACTGTTTATTGTTGTTCTAGTGTATTATCACCCCTTACAAGCAATGTCTCTTATTGTACTTTCATTTTTTTTAAACTATACTGTCTTTTATAAATGAAGTTCACTACTAAAATACATCACCTGGCTATACTACCACTGTCCTAAATTAAATTAAGTAAAACTTCTGTTCTACCTGGTCAGTAATGGCAGTTGACATGAATCTCTCTCTCACAAAACAAATGGAGATTTGGGCCTGTATTCACAAAGGGTTTACCACAGATTCACTATTACTAACTTTTTCTAAAAGGAATTAAAATACAAATGAAAATTAAAGTCACAGTACATAAATTTATTTTATAGATGTTTTGTATGAGTAAATAATTTTTCATTCATGTTATGGCTTATGTGTATGTTTATAGCCTTCAGTAAAAAATAATGTTAACATTGTATATGTGGAAAACTGTTTCGTGGGCTGTTAGAATTTCTCCATTTGTCATGCAATGGACACAACTTTACTATGGTGATACTGTACTTGAAAGACATTGTACATTTCAGAAGTGCCAATTACACAGGTATGAGTTAGTGAAAAAATTTAAAATGGAAAGTTACAAGGAAAGTGTGATTTAGTGAAATTTATTAAATTCTACAAACTATTTGTTGCTACAAACAGTGAAATTTTGTGAATACTAGTTACTAACTAGCCTTCCCCTGTAAAGTCAATAACAATTATAAAACTACAGTTTTGAAAACAAGCACATTTTTACTTGTCCAAGCCAGTTAGTCGGGTTTAAGAACCCACACAGCTTAGAATTGGTGGCACTAGTGTTGCATGGGGTGTTCCAGGCTGTTATACTTGTAATTCTGAATTTTCTAAGAAGCTGCAATTTTTATATCTAATATTAACCTTAAGATTAAATGATGATACGTAACATTGAGAATATTTTAAAAAGATATTTTTGTATCAAAACATATCAAACAGAAATGTTTTTTAAAAATGTCAGTACCTTTGCTGAGAGTTGTTGAGAATTTTTGTGAATGGTTTTAAATTCTGGTTTAACTCTTTTGTGCACTAGCCCAAGTGTAGAAGTTTTATGAAAGCAAGCATTTTCAAAGAATTAAAAAGTCAGTATATGATTCTGTTCTTCTCCAAAGGCTTTACACAGTGTGTCATCAGAATATTGTTTGTTTAATAGCAAATAATGATGGAAAAGAATGTGCCCCACATAAATCATTTATTATTTATCACTGTTATGTATTTATGCTAGTGGAAGTACATTACATTTGTTTGGAAGTGATTTTAGAATATACTTAGTTTTAATAATGGTGACTGGTGTATTTATTTAGTACTCATGATTTTTTGTGCTGAGTGAATTAAGTCTCTTATTTATGTATTTTTAATGTCCTTTTAAACGTTTCATTATGGTGAAAAAAGAATAACTTTGTTTAAAAATAGTAATCTTGCACTGTCCAAAAAAAATACAGACAAACATCCAGGGTTTTTCTCATAGGGTTAACAAAACCTTATCTTACCACAGTACGTAAAGATATTTAAATTTAGTTATCTGTAAAGAGGTCGTGTCAACGTTTGATAAAAAATAACTTTCTCGTGAAATACTGTTGAATTTATGTCTGTTTTTTTTTAGAAATGCTATTACTTCTATGTGTGAGTTTTTGGAAGGTGTTGATTATCTTATAGCATACCTGATTTTTTTTTGTTCCTTCAGGGGGAAATGATTGATAGAATTGAATATCAAGTGGAACATGCAAAGGATTACATAGAAGCTGCTAAACAGGATACAAAGAAGGCATTGGTATATCAAAGCAAAGCAAGAAGGGTAAGGAAAAAAATCTGTTATATTTATTTGTATCATATATATGATAACATATTGTACAAGCTACTTATTTTATCATTTGATCATAACAGATATACATGTGTTTATGTATGTATGTTAGAAATCTGTTGTTTCTGTTTGATTGTGGCTAGAAGCCAAGTGTCTGCAGTTTGTAAGAAAAAAAATAATTTTTTTTTCATAATTTCAGGCTTAAAATTTGTGTGTATAAATTCATCTTTTTCCATGTACTTGTATATCACTCTGATATTTTTTATGATTCTTGAAACTTCTGTTTGTCAGCTGAAATTACTTTCTTTAAAACAGTTTTTCAAAACAAGTTTTTGTTTGTAGTATGTATCACATTTGTAAAAGTTATTGGAATCTTAGGCTGTCAACCAAAAAATTTAAGTTTTGTTAATTTTGTGTTTTTTAGAGCTAAAAAAAAATAATAAATATAAAACTTTACATTAATTTCAGTTAACTGAGTTTATTTTGTAAATTTATTAAATTTCATTCATATTTACTAAGTTGGTATTATTTTGTTTTTGTTTATTTATTTATTTATTCATATTTCTGTTTTGTTTTCTTAGAAACAAATCATTATCATTATCCTGGTACTAGTTGTGGTTGGAGTTCTAACTTTAATTATTCTTGGCTCCACTGGTATTATCTGATACAGTTTTACATTGAATTGGAGGAGACTGCAACCCTAAGTGACCTTTGACCAAAGCATTTATACCGGTATTTGTTTGAATGTGGAAAGACTTTATACATGGGATCTTCTAATGTATGTAGATATGATTTTTGTATGAGGACTCCTGGGATTGTTGTGTGAACTAGAGATTTAAATGATGTTGGGTATTCTCCTGGATGTTTACTACCACATGTGGAATACTATGATAACAGTTTAAGTCAACCACTTGGTTCCTACTCGAATTTACAAAAAAATTATCAAACACTGGATATCCATTTTCTCTGATGTTTTGTCATGAACAACATCATACTTGTTATGGTACATTTTGATGACATTGAAACATAAAAATTCACGGATCTGAGGCAAGTTAAAAATAATTATGGTCATATATGTAGTGGTTATTCTCTTGTGTTTTTTCTATTAATTTGACTAATTCCCAGTCACAATATGCTAGTTCCAGTTTAATATTTCACAAATCATGTGTGAAAATCAAATTCAATATAAGGAGTGAGCACTAACTCTGTCTGTTACATATTCCAGATTTAAAAACATTTAAGAAGTATTTATCCTGTTTTTAAAGGAGATGTATGTTCAGTAGTTTTATTAATCTACTCAAAGCCAGACTTCAGCAGGGTGGATTACCTGACGTGATTGGAAGTTTAACAAAATAACTGAAGTTTTTTTCTTTGTAGCTTCTTGTCTAAATTTTAAAATATTGAAAATTCATATAATACACTTTTTTTCCCTTCAGAATTTGTAAACGAGTATAGTCACAAACATAAATAGTGTTCTATTTTTAATGCCTGTTAATTAAATTCAATGAAATATGTTACCTATGTTTTTGATCATATTGCATGCTTTGATGACCACCAAAATGAAATTAATGGTGAAAAAAACATACATTATAGTAAACAGCTGGAACACTATTCTAACCAAGTAATAGTGCTTTTTATCCCTATAATAGAATTTTGTGAAAAACGTTTTTGCTATTCAGAAGTTTGTTGTATGTAAAAATAGCTCGAAAATACTACCTACAACAATCGTTTGTTCCCAAAACACCGAGCTCGTTCAACCTTAGCTGTCAGTATGAAATATTGTTGGTAGCTCAATTATTCTTATTTTGTGTTGTTAGTTGAGAAAAGTGATGTGTTAAGTATATATCTTGGCTGAGCAACTGATTTACCATTTAGTTGGATGCATTAGGTGTTTCAGTTATCGTGTAAAAGTAATGCACAACACATTATTTCCGATATGACTTTTATAGCCTTGTGATTTATTTTTATTTTTACATAAACTCAAACAGGCCACAGATTATTCTAATGAACTTGTTTAATTATATGAATTGAGAAATGGGGATTTGTTTTCACACTTCAATTTCACTCGCTTCTTATCATAAAATAAATTATATACAACACTAGAAAAAGCAATTGATATAACTACAAACAATAACTCCTAGACTCCAGTGAAATATGCTTTTTCCTGACTTTTCACTGGAGAGTCATGTAACACACTGTCTGCAGCCACATGTCACATATATTCAAATCAGGATTTGTTTTCAAACACCTATTTTTTGTTCATAAAATTATATATATATATATATATAGCACTGTAAAAAGCAGTTGATGTGGATATAAACAATCACATCTAGATTTTAGTGAAAAATGTTTTTCCTGACTTTTCACCAGAGCTTCATGTAACATTATATCCACAACCATTTGTCACTTTGTTTTATGATTTTTATATTAGTATATTTATTGAATGTATAAGGTTTCTTTATAACCAGATTAAGACTGACTGGTAAGCTTAATTTGATGGGATAACTGAATTTGGTTCGAGCCCTTTTGTAAATCTAATAACATCTTGTAAGTAAAAAAAAAAGTAATCGTTGAATTTTAAACAATGAATTATTAAATTGTTTATCAGTTTCTTTTAATTTGATATTTAACAATATGCTTGATTTTGTGGGTTTGACAATTGTTTTTGTTTTTCTAATTGACTAGTTATGTACTAAAATCTCATACTAATCATCTATGTGCATGCAAGTATATATTAAGGTATGGAAACACATTCACATTCTTGTTAGAAGAATGTTCTACATTAGAATGTGATGAAAGAAATTACACATTATTTTTGTGGAAATTCAATCTCAAATGCTTTTGAAAGCACATGCAACAATTATTGTAACTTATTATTGAGTTTTATTAATGTGTTCAGTATATAACTTATTTCTCATTGGTATCATATATCAGCAAGAAATAGTATGAACCACTATTATATATTGCAGGATTATAAAGTATATTTTGTTACATGGGCTATGTTGTTTTATTGTTACAAGTGTCATAGTCTTATTCTGTGAAATCGGTTATCTCATTTTCTAACTAAATTAAGTAGACATACACAATGTTTCATGTAAAGCCTTAAAAAGAATCATATTCTGTAATGTATCATTTTTATTAATTTTTAGATTAAAGCAAGGACCTTTAATTTCAGAAATATATGTACTTTTTTATGTGACTAATTATTATTTTCTTTTAACTAATGAAGCATGAGATTTTTATTATTAATATAAAGAATCATTATTATATTTTGCAGTTTGAAGCAAAATTTGATTATTGTGTGAATTATTGTTTTTGAAAATTTAAAGATAATTAAGGTGTTTTGATGTATGGTTGAATAAAAAAAACTGTTAATCTCAGAAAGTTATATTAAAGATGTAATTAAATTTAAAAAATGTTAAGTTTTATGTAGTCTTCATATAAAAACTTAGTCATCGATGCTAAGAAATATTAAAATATTTGTATTGCAGAAACTTAAGTTAAGCCAAAGATATTGTATATCTGTTCATAAAATAAAATTTATGCTCATGATGATGTACATTTATTCTATTTAAAAAAATTTAACCAAGAACAGTTTAAAAAAAAAGTATTTGCAGTATATCACTTTCTTGCTTTAAGTTGTTATGATGTAAATAAAATGCTTTATGTTTATTATTTTATCTTGTCACTATAATTATTCAGCTCTCAGAAAGAAAAACAATTGAATAAATTCTTTGAATGTAGTGTACTGGTGGCTCAGTAATAAATTTTATGGCTGATATTGCTAAAACCTAAGGTTGAATCCCTGTGGTGGGCAGTGTGTGGATGTGCTTAACAATAAAACAAAGAATGTAAAGCATTATCAGACATGCATGCAGCAAATTTAGATCAATTTTACTAGTGAAGAGTAAACCTACAATTACAAGTTTTAGGCCTACAGTATATTTTCTCAATTTACTGCATTCATATTATAATACATTAACTTTTTTATCTGTTATTTTCAAGACTATGCTAATACAGGTCATGAAAATTGTCTTGATTTTTTGCTATGTAAATTAAGGTCCCCTACTACGTTAGCAGAAACCTCTAGGGCTAATAACTCTAATATTGAATATTTTATCCCTGTGCCATATATAGTGCAGGTAGCCAATTGTCATGCGAAGATGTGTGCATACCCTAAAAAAAAGCAAAACTACACCATTGAATTAAAAGAGAAAACTTTAGAGTTTAAATTTATTCAATAAAAATGTTTAAATCATTTAACCCTTTCACTGTGCCTGGGACATATATTTTCCAGTGCTCCCACCTCCCTCGCACTGTGACTGGGACAAATGTTTCCCATTATTATTCAAAATTGATGCGCGTGACGTATAGGAGTAAAATGAGTTGGAAAATATTTATTGGCATCCCACCTAATGTTGATGTGTGATTTCCCTCAATGTTTTCCACTCAGCCTTTCAGTAACCAACAAGATGCCTAAGCAGAATGTAAGACAACTGTGTGCAGACCATGCCTGCTCCGCTAGAGCGGCAAGAAGTAACCCTAATTACTATGTAGATATGCTTGACTTGGATAGTGTAGAAGATAGTGAAAGTGAGTCGAGTGGTGTTTAAATGTGTGATGATGAAGAGGCAGTGAAACAAGAAGATGCTAGCTCTCCATCTAGTGATGATATTCAAGATGATGAACTTGGTCCCAGCAGAGGAAGGTGTAAACAGCTTCAACAATGGGAAACATTTGTCCCTGTCACAGTGTGAGAGGGTGGGAGTACTGGGAAATATATGTCCCAGCCACTGTGAATTGGGTTAATTTTGTATATAAATTTTTTTTTTTAATGTAAATTAGATTTTTGTTCATTTCAGCATACTCTGAGTAGAAACATTAATGTATGTGAATTACCTGATTTTTATTTTCCTAGGCATGATATAGCACTTAGAACTACCTAGATGGAAAATCAAAATACATTTGAACAAACTAGTGCTCATTTGACCGTGTAACTTCAATACAAGTGTATTTTTATTATAACAGGTGGCCATATTGGCTAGTTGTGTGAGCTTGACTTTAAATCCAGTTACAATAGATTTATATTAAATCCAGGTATACAGTTGCCAGTGGAGTACACGGGTCACTAACTCGAGGAAGTTTGCTGTTGGAATAAAGAATTGATTTGGAGACTGAGATTCAAAATACAACACTTTAATGCAATATATTAAGATACTTGGCTATATCGAAATTACCGAAAGTATCTTGGAACACGTTGCTATCAAAACTGTTGAACTCGTCAACTTGCGTTGGTAACTGTTCTTCGATTAATCTTTCTATAACATACAATAAATTACTGAATAGTACAAGCTATTACCAATTAATACATTTAGAGATCTGTTCATATGTAAATCATTATTAAACATGATACACTCAGTCTTACTACATTATTCAATTTAGGAGAAATAGCAATTGTTACTTACATCAAGGGTGAAGTAGTGTTCTAAGCCTTTTGAAGAACTAAAGTCTTCATTATCTTCAGTATTTTTTAGCAGTGTCAGAGGAACTCCTTTAGCACCGGGGAGAGACCGAGAGACTGACTTTCTAGCCCAATACAGGGGTTCTTATACCAAATCATTTGGTATTCTTACGAGTTTCCAAACAGTGTATACATCTAACCCGCACGTAGATGCAACACTTAATTGGATGATTTTTGCAAACTCATCGTGATTCTCAGAATCAAAAACATAAATTCTTTGATAATTAGCTATAGTCGAAGACAGTAAATCAGCAGCCTATTTATTTGTATCTCTCCTCATCTTCTTGAC